TGTAGGAATGATATTCTTAGTTCTTTTAGCCTAAATACTTCCTACTCATCCCTTATGTCTTAGGTCACTGGTAATTTTCTCAGGTAGTGTTCCTTCCTTGACAATGCAGAATTGGGTCTCATTATTAGTTGCCCCCAACTATCAATGTTTTAATTTCTTGCTTAAGACATTCCTCCGCCCCCCTCCCCAACAAATTCTGCTGGGTGACAAGCTCCATAATCCAATCTCCAAAATTAATCTGAGCTCCATAATTAACAGCAATAACTACAACCTTTTTTGCTTACCATCTTATCCCAAGTATCCATTATAACTTTTGGCACATAACTAGTGTTTAATTCATACATAAATCAAAACCAACTCAACTTCAAGGTAACAAGTAGCTTACTTAAAAACATGACAGGGACTGGGAAGTTGGCTCAGTGGTAGAGTGCTTGCCTTGCATGCATGAGGCCCTGGGTTCGATTCCTCAGCACCACATAAGCAGAAAAAGCCGGAAGTGGGGCTGAGGCTCAAGTGGTAGAGTGCTAGTCTTGAGCTGAAGAGCTGATGGACAGCGCCCAGGCCCAGAGTTCAGGCCTCACGACCGAAAACAAAAAACAAAAAACATGACAGAAAGGAAGGGAAGAGGTAACACTGTCCAAAAAGAAATGTACTCTTTACCTGATTTATGTAATGATAATCCCTCTGTACACTGCCCTTATAATAACAATTTTTAAAAAGAAAAAAATGACAGAAGAGTAAATTTATCACCAGTATAATGTCAATGTGGTTATTGATCAAAGCTAAGTTTCTGAACTGATGTCTACAAACAGTAAATCACTTTAATATTAAAATTTAGCAACTGTGGTGGGAAGGTGACTTTTTAGTATTGTTCAGCTGTTATTTTAAAGAAGGAGTAAATGTGCTGAATATTTCAAGACAGAGAAGTGAGTTTCTCTAAGTATTCACAATTTTTGTTCTACACTAACACAACGATAGCTATCACTAGTATTTGCTACTACTGCTATCCTAATCAGTGCCTGTGACTCAGCAAATACCCAGTGGCTCACACAGTGGGTGGGACATTTCAAATAGAGATGGGATTTGAAGGAGTGCTCCTTTACCGCTTGAGAATATTCTAATATTTCCTGCCATCCTCAGCACTTTATATAATACATGTCTCTTCCCAAATATAATTTGTGGCAAAAAAGTCACATAGATGTTATATGTAATTAAAAATGTAGCACTTTTTTTTGGCAGTCAGTGTTTTCCTATTAGATTAGATGTAGTGTAGTATTACCTAAAGCCACAAGGACTGGTAAATGGCAATCTGGAAGGATTCAAAGACTGACTTATATAAAATATAATTGAAATTAACTATTTCTAAAACCACATAACTTGGTGTATACATATGTTATACAAACCATAAGCAGACTGAACTATTATTTCTTTATGTCCATATAACTAAAACAATAGAACTAATTCATATACTTACTAAGAAATAAAAGTGACTAAAAAAATATAGAGATCTCCTTTAGATTTACAAGACCTCATAAGACTGATAACAGTTTATGGAACAACATCTGAAATTCTGCAGATGGTACACCCACCAGTCTACTTTGAAAGACACTGCTGATAATTAGCCTTTCCACAGCAATATACTGATCTGTCAAAACTACAAGGCTGGGCACTGGTGGCTCACACCTGTAATCCTAGCTACTCAGGAGGTTGAGATCAGAGGATTGTGGTTCAAAGCCAGCCTAGGCAGGAAAATCTAAGAGATTCTTATCTCCAATAAGATCTCCAATAACCCAGGCCTTGAGTTCAAGCCCTTCAACCAATTAAAAACAAACAAAAAACTACAGAAGAAATAGTGGTATCTATATACAATGGAATCTTATGCATCCATTAGAAAGGACAAAATAATGGCATTTGCAGGGAGGGAAATGGATGAAACTAGAAGAAATCATGTTGAGTGAAGTAAGCCAAGAGTAAAGGGACAAATGGCACATGGTCTCCCTGGTAAGTGGACATTAAATCCAAAACAGAAGGTGATAAGACAAAGTTAACAAGACTTGAGAAACAAACGACCTCCACTCATCTGGTCGAATCACTACTAAATAACCCCACGTTGCTGATCATATATATGGTATATATGTGTTCACCAGAGGGAAACTAGGAGGAAGACACAGAACTAGAGGGAATCAGGGAAAAACATACAACAGTGGGACCCATCAACTGGACATTGATCAAAACGAACTAAGCAACTCAATGGCAGTGATGGAGGGAGGGAGGGAACGAGTGGGAAAGAGGGAACAACTGACACTATGCAAAAGGAAAGGAATGTACATATCACCCAATGTGGAAGAAATAATTGTATTGTCAAAGCTCAAAGAACTCATAAACTTTATAGTCCAAAACAGACAATTTACTTCATGAAAGTTAGAATGTGTTTGTGAAATTTGTAAAATTATGTAATCTTAATTACAATAAAGAATTTGCAAAAAAAACTACAGAAGATATTGTATGTGTAAATATTAACACCAAGTACAGATGAATAAACTGAAGCTGAAAATACACAGAAACCAAACCAAACCAAAAAATATTCAAATTTTTATCTCTCTCTTCACCATTTTCTAAGATCTATAAAAAAAAAATGCTCACATTGTGATATATTGGCCAATTCTTATTTTGAGAAATAATGTAGTTCTAAAGCCAGGACATGGAGTCAGAGCATACAATTATAAGTTCTGAAAATAAGAACATGTATAATTTATTACATGTACAGTCTATTATTTAGATGAATACTCATCTAAAATATTAAAAAATGAGTTTCATTTCCTACTCACAGAATGATCTAATTTCTTTGAAATTACATTTTTTAAAATCTGACATCAAAATCATTACTGTTTAGCTCTTAGGTTATTTAAAAAATGAATTTGGGCTGAGCCCCAGTGGCTCACACCTGCAAACCTATCCTCAGAAGGCTGAAGTCTGAGGATCACAGTTCAAAGCAAGGCCAGGAAGGAAAGCTCTTCAATTAATCACAGAGAAAGCCGGAAGTAGAGCTGTGGCTCAAGTGGTAGAGCACTAGCCTTGAGCAAAGCTCAGGGACAGCACCAGGCCCAGAGTTCAGGCCCAGGACAGGTACACACACACACACACACACACACACAGACACACACACAAACACACACACACACACACACACACACCAATCTTTTCATTTTAAAAAAGTCATTTATTGAAGAGTATTGATGGATTATACTCAGGAGAGGATGAGATCTTCGGATCACCATTCAAAGCCAGCCTCTGAAGGCTCCAAGACTCTTATCTCCAATTAATCACAGAATAAGTAGGAAGTGGAGCTGTGGCTCAGGAGGTAGAGTACTAGCCTTGAGTAAGGAGGTCAGGGACAGCGCACAGGCCCAGAGTTCAAGCCCCAGAACCAGTTTAAAAAAGCAATTTATCTTTGGTAGATATTCAAACCTGTCAATGATAGGAAATTTCTACTCTTAAAATTTGTTCTTTAAAGCTGAAACACTGTCCTCAATACCATCCACTGCAATTTTAATAACTGGAAAATCAGCTATCTTCTAGAAATGACCACTAATCAAGAAACTGAGACATTTTAATTTACCTACATTAAGTGACTGCCTTCATATCAGCACTTTCATTCCAATCTTTTCAAAAAAGATGGGAAAAATCAAGAGATCTCTCAATGGAGAACAGTCACAAAATCCTGGATTTGTCAATGTATACCAACCAAAGATTAATTATATCACCTTTTTTTTTCTTTTGCCAGTTTCAGGGCTTGAATTCCGGGCCTGAGCCCTGCCCCTGAGCTTCTTTTGCTCAAGGCTAGCACTCTACCACTTGCGCCACAGCACCACTTTGGGCTTTCTGTTTATGTGGTACTGAGGAATCAAAGCCAGGGCTTCATGCATGCTAGGAAAGCACTATATCACAAAGCCAGACTCCCAGATCTCATATATCATATTTTTAATGGCTACAGGAGAGAAAGAATGCTGACCACTAAACAAAAACAGTGTTTGACATATATATTAGTTGGGATACAACAGGCATTCTCAATTACTACAAACAGTAGCAATGGTGATCTCTTAGGAAAGCTAATATCCTAATATTACCTACTTAAAATGAAATACTATTCTTATTTTAAATTGCATGGTTAGAAGTTGCTCTTTATGTATTATTGTAAATCTATCATGAATTCTAAATACTGTCATAATGCCTTAAGTTTATTTTCCATCTAACATGAAAGATACAATCACCCCCATCATACTCCCACGCTAGAACAAATGACCCTTCTTTAAATACTTTCACATATAAAGTCAGACCTTGGGAAATACCGTGAAGTACAAGCACAAAAACCTCAATGTTAGAAGATACTTAAGTGCCAGCGAGCCCAGGAGAGATAGGCTTGTAACTGAAGAGCCAATTGTGTATGTAAACAAAGACAACCACATTTTGGTATACATTCCACTCAATTTTCCCAAGAGCTCTGATGAGATTCCCCTATACGGTCCAGGCATGACTGCTGGGCCACGGATGTTACTTTGGGTCGTTAAGATGAATGTCATCGGGATGGCATCCCTCTGAAAATACACCAGTGTGGTTTATCGCTGCCAGAGTAGATCTGCAAAACTCACACGTCAAGAGGCGGGCCGAGGTATTCTCCGGACAGAAAAATCTTTCTTTGGTTGGTTAACACAACACGTACAAGGTAACTCCCGTTCCCTCCCAGGTGACATTCTAGGAAGGTGGATGGATGACAGCACCTCGGAGACCACACGCAGGTCTACACCCTTTTTTCTCTACAAACCTCACCCCTTTCCTTTCCTTCCCCTCAGTCGCACTCTTCCATCCCAATAGAAGGCCAGGTGCCTAGGTGGTCAGCCCTCTAGGGTCGTTTCCCGGGAGCTTTCGGTGGGCTCTAACGCCCGCGGGCCGTGCGGGACTGGCGGCCTCCGCGGCCAGGCCTCCCCCCGCCCCAGGCTCACCTCTAGCTTGTGGTTGATCTGGGACACCGTCTGAGCTTTGTGGCAGAGCTGCGCGAAGCAGGAGCTCAGGCTGGTCATCTTCTGCCGCCCCTCGTAAGTGATGTCCGCCTGGTCCGGATCGATCTCACCCAGGAGCAGATCCACGTCCACGAAGGCCTTGTCGAACTCCTTCTCCAGCACCTCCAGCCACCGGAACATGGACACCCCGCCGGGGGAGACCCCCACCGCACAGGAGGCGCCTCCGGGGCCCCCTCCGGCTCCTGCTGGGCAGGGGCCGCCCGCAGACATGGCGCCGTCCAGGGCCTCCCCCGACTGCTGCGGACCCTCGCCGCCCAGCCGGCGCGAGGGGAACTGCTGGCGCTGCGGGGACCCCCTGCGCGCGCACACACACGCCCCGACTATCCCCTCCCTCCCCTCGCGCGGCTAACGCCGGCACGGCGGCCCCAGAGTGGCGGGAGCCGGCAGGATGCGGTGACGGTGACGGCGACAGCAGACGGAAGACCCGGCCGGCCCCACCTCCCGCCCCGCCCCCCCGCGCATGCGGAGTGACGAGCCGGGCGGACGCAGCCCGCTGGGAGGAAGTGGGCGGGGCCGAGATGCGACCTTGGCCTATGATAGGCCTCCGCTGGGGACCTGCCTGTCAGCGTCCATGTTGACAACTGGCAAACCTCTGCAGCCCGCCCGTGAGAAAGGAGGGAGAACACTGGGGGGCCGCTTCCAAATTGGAAAGACCCAGGGAAGAGAAGGCTATCCACGTGGGAGGACTGGACGGCTTCCGCCAGTAGGGCTTCAGAGTGGGCGGGAGTTGTCCCCTAGTCGTGGGGAAAAGTTGCCGCAGTGGCGCCCGGGGCCGGGCTGGGAACGCGGAGTGCGGTGTGAGCATGCGCAACAGCCACGTTTTCCCTTTTTCCTAGCAGTTCCTGCTTTAGGTGGGGTGGGGTGGGTGTGAGCGCTGGCTGTACTTGGTAAACCAGATCCTACATTCCACGGCCTGTGGATCTGGCTGACTCCGTTCAGCGAATTAATACAAGGCCTTTTCTCTTGTCATGAAGAATCTGATAGGCCCGGATTCAGTTTCTATAGCCAGTCACATTCTAGCCACCCCATCTCAGCTGTACGGTTCAACCTATGTTCCAGATCTTACTTCACTCAGCAATAAGGTAAAATGTGTTTGGCACATGCTCTTCTCCTTAATTGCATCGCAGGCCGTACATTTTTAAAGCAGTTGCCATCCATGGTGTTGTCATTTCCAAAACACAATTCTCCTCACGTGACATTTCAGAAAAGTGAAATTACAAAGGTTGATACACTCACAAACATATTGAAGATAAGATGTGGTTGAGGGGACAAAACGAATGAGACAGAACCCCTACACAAGCTGAGCTTCTAAGTAGTAAGGCTAACTCTGAAAACTACAGCTTGCAATTTAATTTTGCATGCATTGGGAAAATTCAGCAGTTTCCTTGTCTGCATTCCACTTGTTTATCCTCAACCACCTTTCTAGTGCAAAAGCAGTCTGGAAAGGGAAGGAAAAACCCATCTGATCAGAGTAAGCCTGTAGACGCTATCTTTCAGAGATTGCTTAGTGGAGTATTTGGGAGCTAAGCACTAAATCTTCTGCGATCTGTTCTTAGGATAGGCCCTTCTAATTAGTCAAAACCTGTACTGTATGCCCTCACAAATAAGAACCAAGAAATGACAGATTTGTTAGCATTAAGCCATAGCTCCTTTGGTCTCAGTAAACAGCTAAACATAGCTAACCATGAGCTCTTGCCTGGAGCTTAAATTGAGGCCATTATACAGATCTTAGTATATGATAATATGATATTGAAATTTGCATCTCTCTGAAATCTCTCTTCAAGGTTATTTTCATCTGCAGTAATTGCAAGAACAGCATTGCTATAGCTCTCAAACTCCCGGATACTTTCTCTACACTTAAATATATTAGCAGTGTATTTCAGAGAAACTTTAAATTAAAAAATATTCAGGAAGGGGCTGGGAAGGTGGCTCAGTGGTAGAGCGCTTGCCTTGCATGCTTGAGGCCCTGGGTTCGATTCCTCAGCACCACATAAGCAAAATGAAAAAAGCCGGAAGTGGTGCTGTGGCTCCAGTGGTAGAGTGCTAGCCTTGAGCTGAAGAGCTGAGGGACAGCGCCCAGGCCCAGAGTTCAGGCCCCACGACCGGACCCCCAAAAAAAAATATTCAGGAAGGAGGTATATGTGGAACTACAGTAACAATAACTTCCAAAGATTAAATATTTATTATGTGTTAGCGTGCTATTTACTTTATTAACTTGATCCTCACAAAATCCTGTCAGGCAAGGATAGTTACTTTTTTTATAGATGAATCATTGAAAACTGAACTTAGCAAGGTCATACAGCTAGAAAGTTGCTGAGCTAAAACTTTAATCCAGGTGTCTTTTGTGTTGGCAATGGAATACAGGAATAAAGAAACAACCTTTTCCCCTCTCCGCCCTACTCTTTCCTCTTGCCCTTTCCCTCATCACTTACCTCTCATCTTCTTCCCTACCTCTTTTTCTATTACTGGGTATTGAACTCAGGACCATGCCCTTGCTAGGCAGATCCTCTACTCTGTTACTTGACCTACTTTGCCAATCCCATACTTTCTTGTGCATTTTTACCAGTATAGTAGATTGGAAAGAAAGTTCCAAAAGTTATTTCAAAAACTCCCCATATGAGCTGCAGTAAGTGGAAACAAGACTTTGTTTTTCTTTGTTGTTGTTTTTTTTCTTTTTGTTTTGTTTGTTTATCTGCCTTTGGGAGAGTAAGGGGGCAAACAAATGGAAGGACAAAGACTGAACAAATCAGCAGTGGTACTCACTAGACACTATATTGAAAATGAATTATATAACTTGTGGGTGGGGACAAGGGAAAAACATAAGGAAAGAGGTGACATTATTCAAAAAGGAATGTATTCTTTACCTGACTTACATAACTGTAACCCCTCTATACAATAACAATTAAACATTTTTAAAACTCCCCCCCAGTTATAAGACACAAACATATATGTGTTCTCATATACACACATGTATACAAATCTATGAACATATATGTGATATTAACAAAAATCCATAATATTCATTGCTCATTAACTAGGTCTTTTTAGTTTATATAGACCACATTTTAATGTAAATTTCTTTTATGAAATATCATTTATAAATATATATTGTATAGATATAGATAATTTATAAATATCTTTTATTAAATATCATTTCAATTGTGTCATATTGTGTAGGCATCAATGAGCTGCATGTAAGTGTTCCTGTGTCCAGTGCTCTGGTTTGTCACATCCTATGTATGTAAACCCTTTCCTGTCATACTGCCTCTTCTCATTACCATTCTATGTAGCACTTGCAATATACTATGTACATACCATTTTGGTACCATCTTATCACTTAAAAGTAAGGGTACACCAATATAATCTAGCTCTTCTGGATTTTTTTTTTTTTTTCAATTTTGCCCGTCAGGACAAAATCTGGAAGGCAACAAAAATGGCTTGATGTTCTGGTGCTGCCACCTGCTGTCTGTATACTCTACATTTATTACTTATTTGAATTTGGAATTGTGTTATCTCAGTACTTGTGAGACATTTTCCCACCAACTAAAACAAAATGGTGATGCTTCTATTTGAAATTAGATTTGGAGAAACTGCCAATAAACTTTGGCAAATCATTCTGATGTGATTTTACACAACCTAATGCAGCTAAAATATGACAGTCTTCTCTTCTTCCTACAACATTTTGCCACTGAGAATAAATTGGATGAAAATCAAGAAAACTAAGAAAAAGAAAGATGTTAAAGATTTCTTTGGTAATAACTGAGCATCGCCAACTGCAAATTTACTGTAGAGAAGATCCATTTTGGTTGTTGTGGGTAGGGTTCAAGAGGTAGAGTACCTGACTAGTTAGCATGAATCCCTGTGTTCAAACACAAATACCACCAAAGAAAGAAAGAAGAAAGGAAGGAAGGAAGGAAGGAAGGATGGATGGATGGGAAGGGAAGGAGGGAGGGAGGGAAAGAGGGAGGGAAGGGAAGGAAAGGAAACATCCACCTTGGACAAAGGGAGAAAATTATTTATTAAACTCTGCAGTGTTCCAGACTTTGCACTAAGCTTTACCTGTCTACCTACTAGGGAAAGGAAAAAAGATTAAGTGATACTGGTGCTTGTAAAAAAGTTGTATAATGAATGAATAAAACCAAGGAAAATCTAATGTCATTTCATTTGAGCAATATTTTGGAATATTTTACTCAAATGTAGTGTTTATATTAAATATCTGCTTTTAACTATTTGAACATTTCAGCTAGTCATGCTAAAGAAGTAAGTTTGGACAGCTCAGAATGATTAACCTCATCCTTTTGATAGATTAGATAGATAGATTAGATAGATAGATAGATAGACAATTCCTCTCTTGTCTTTCAAACTTGAGAATTTTAGTGGAGTGATTTAGAATTAATTCAGACACCTACTCTTCCAAGAAGCCTTCTCTCTGTACTCTGTCCTCATTTAATTTTCTGCTAGTGCCTGCTGTAGCATTGACATATTCTTTTGGAGCCCTTTAGAGTATGAACGCCTTCCTTCTCTATGACTTGCTTACCATTGAACCCCAGAACCAACACAGGACCTACAGTGGAATACTATAATTGTGGGATAACTTCAATCATTAAACTATCCCAGCATCATACCTAGGAAATTCTAAAAAAAAAACTCTTACTTTTCAAGCCATACCTCGATATATGATAGAAAGCACAATTAAGTGGACTTTTATACTCTCTCAGGGCTTAGAGTTATCTATAAAATACATATTAGTCTTTTAAAATTCAAGGAATATTTTCCCAACCTAAAGAGAAAGGTTTAACAATGATCTTATTTATTTGTCTAGTAAATGCATTTAATTTTGCCTTCAATAATTATTTTGTTTTTCTTTAGTTAAAAGGTATTAGATATTAGGGCTGGGATGTAGCTCAGTGGCAAAGCGCTTGTCTAGCAAGTGCAACGTCCTGGGTTCGATCCCCAGTACCAAAAAAGAAAAGACAAAAAAAAGGTATTAGATATTATATTTTGTGTGGTATACTCAAACATAAAAAATACTTTAAATTTCTTGTTGCTATATTCATATACTCTTACACTGTTAAGGGTTAAGAGCTTTTTAACTGTCACCTGCTTTAAATGCTTCAGTTACCCTTTCCCACAACTCCCATTATCTAAAACCACTGTTTATCAACAATGGTATCAGAGCTTACTAGTCATTAATTCTTCCTTTTTCATCCACTGTCAAGTTACTGTTTATTTCTCAGATTGTTAGACTTCACAAGTCAAACATAGATTCTTCTATCAGCCTCTGTCATTTAGGTTTCTTGTAGACTAAAAAAACTATGTACATTCTAGACACCTTTTAACAGTGTCTTTTTCTTTTAGCTTCAATTAAAAGATGTAAGAATAAGTTATCTAATTAGGTAAATATATAAAACTTAACAAATCAGAAAAGATACAATGAAGCAACAACCCAAAAA